CCAGTCGTGAGGGGTGCGCGGGCTCCAGCACCTTGTCTCTCACTTCAACCACGGCCTCCAGCAGCTCTACCGCCTTCTGCACCTGTCCGTCTGCTCGGTATGCTATTGCGAGCTCGTGCTGGGTAAACAGTAGATCCGGGTCATCCTCCTCCAGCATGCTCCTGAGTCTATAAGACTCCTCCAGCCACATCACTGATTCTTGGATCCTCCCATCAACTTCCAGACATCGACCCACCCACAAACACAGCCCCGGCTTCTCTTTCACATCGCAGCCCTGTTCGGCCTTCAGCAGTCGCAGCGCGTGCGGCAGATATGCTCTCCACACTTGCCGGTTTGCGTAATCATCAGATGGGAAGACTTTTGCGACATGCCGTACGGCTTCCTCCATCACTCCTGCCGGATCGCTCTGCTCCCTGACCCAGAGCCGAGTCGCCAGGTGTACAAGTCGGTGGATGTCGTACCACTCCTCGGCCTCTGTCTCTTCCTCGCCTCTATCGCTCTCTCCGCCGTCCTCACTCCTCCCCTCCGTTGTTTGACTGTCGTCGCCTCGTCTCATCAGAAAAGAGTACCCGCACAGCATGCCGATCGCCTTCTCCATCCGCCCTTCGGACTGCGTGCTCGGCAGCAGCGACCGCGGTATGGCCTTCCACTCTACGCACGACATGAACGCCAACAGGTTAGCCGCCACCGTATCGCGCTCGCGGATCTGCCTGAACGACACCACCCACGTTGTCGCCACCGCGTTCGCCGAGCCCTTGTACCGTGTGTCGTCGCGGAACTCTTCGCTCATGAGCCCGACAAGGTCCTGCTCCGTGTTGCGAAGCAGCCGCATATACTTGATAATAGTCGTTCGGTTCATGTTCAGGTATGCGGCTGCCTGCGCGATCGCCAGCGGCAGGCACGTCAGCTCGTCGAGCAGCTTGTGTGTCATCGCATCATCGCGGAGGAGGTCCTTCCTGATTAATGACTTAGAGAAGAAGACAGCTGCATCTTGTCGGTCCATCGCCCCCAGCTCCAGCACGTCGCTCCGCGTCAGCGACACTGCTACCTCCAGTATGCGCGTGGTGTACACCACTACGCCACTCTCGCTATCTGGCAGGTAGTCAACGATGCCCTTCGACTGCTCACTCCCAAACAAGATTTCCGGATCATCTGCATTGTCCACCAGCAGCAGCCACCGACCTGCTTGGCTTGAGCTCAGCCACTGCTTCACCAGCTCTTTTGCATCTTCTTTGCCATCAGCTGCCTGTGGTATGCTGAGCGCTACTGCAATTCCCACGCATGCCTGCTCGAAGCTCTCCATGCTCAGCGCTGGTACCCAGAAGATAGACCACTCGGGCTGCGTTTCCTTCACCGTGTACACGAATTGCAGCGCCACCTGCGTCTTGCCGGTTCCGCCGAGTCCAACAATAGACATCTTCTGGCAGTCCTGATCTATGAGCAGCCGCTGCCGCAGCACCGCAAGCTCATCGCGTCGTCCGACAAAGTGGAGGTTTTTCAGAAAGGGGATGCAGTATGTCGGTTTGGCTACACGCTCGAACATTTTATTAGTGTCGATGCACCACCAATAGATATGGCAGCTACACTAACCACTTGCATCTCTCATTGTTTCCTCCGCCGTGCGCGACTTCACTACATCTGCTGGCGGTATGACCGACAGCACCTCCTTCGCGTACGCTGCCGCGGTCCCCGCCGCGTACGGCTGCCAACGCTTGTTCTTGTGCGAGTCCGCGTAGTCGCACACCCCGCGGATGACAAGACACGGGAAGCTGTTCATCAGCCCCGCCGCCTCCATCTCGAAGCACAGCACCCCGCCAAGCTCAGCGCTGACCCTGTCTCTCTCAGTAGCACTTCTCATCACCTGGTTGCCGGACGCGATGGTCCCATGGTGCACAACTACCTCTTGTCTCCGTGCCTCCCGAGCGACCGCATGCTCTTTGCTGCACTTCTCACACGTTGTTGATCCTGCATGGTCATATTCCACCTTGAAAAGAGTATCTGGGCCGGCAGCCTCACGGCTAAAGTCTGGCAGACTGTCGAGCTTCGATAAATACTCCAAGAGCCTGCCCCTCCCTCTCATGTGCTTAGCCCGCAGGTTCGCAACCGCGTTCAACAAGACGGTTGGCGGTGTGTTGAGGAATCCCGTGCGCTCGAATCCGCTCGGCGTAGCCTTGCCCGAGTCGTACTGCACCACTCCGCCGTGCACCTTGTGCGGTTTGCTCACCACCACATCTCCAAGCCGGACGTCTGCTTCCTCGCTCGGAACGCCTCCGCCAATGCCTACCATGAGGCCAAACCGCGTCGACGAGAAGGTCGACTTCATCTGCACGGCCACCGCTGCGGCCGAGTTGGTGCCCGTTTGCCCTTCAGGCAGACAGGCGATCACGATGTTGTGTTCGCCAACGCGTCCGCAGGTGTAGAGGTTCGTGTCGTGGGCGTCGCATCGAGGAGTGTCGTGCTCCTCGTCGAGCATCTCCTGCGCGGCCGCCAGCTCGACGGGCAGCGCGCACACCCATCCCACCGTGTAGTCTTCGCGACGCAGCTGCTGCACCATTCGCCGTCGTTAAGCGGGAGGGGGTGCGAAGGGAGAAGTGACTGGACAGAGGATGTGGGTAAGGAAGTGGAACACCGCAGCAGCCTGGCAACCGCTTAGCCATGCGACGTGCCCAGCACTCGGCTGCCTGCATGTTGTCAGCTGGCAGCCGGCAGGCTGAGCTGGGCTGTTGTTGACAGGCGGGGTGTGGGGGCGGTGACAGCAGCCCGCTCATTGGGTAGTTCTACACAGGCAGAAGATGAGGCCTGTAAGCTTGTATGCGTGGACAATCCCAATCTGGCACACACCCCATCTTTGCACAAGTACCATCGACTTTTCTCAGATGGCGAAGGAGACGCCCACTGCTCAATAGCATCGTAATGGTTGGTGGTGGACGAAGGGTCGACGTTGACTTGCTCCACACCACCAGAGGCCCTGGAGCGGTGCCTCACACGGACTTACTTTACCACAGCGTTCGATTGACAAAACGGACGGGACGGCGGAGACAGTGCTCCTCTTGTTGATTGGGTTGGGTAGCCGGAGTATAGCGGTTCGATAGACCCTGGCGCACGCAGCTACCATCCAGTCGTTCATGACGAACCAGATCTGCGCCCTGCCCCAATGCAAGCCTTCTAGAAGCTGCCCCAATCACTGACCGGACTGTGTGGCAGCGGGCCGAGATAGTTCCGACTTCCAACGTCGACGCTTCCTAACTGACACCAGCTGTCCTGCACCAACTAGCCCAGGTGGAGATGTTGTCCGCACTGAGCTTCTTTACCATGGCGCCGAGCCTTGCCGCATAGCAGCATGACCTTATCCGCAACATGATACTGGACGGGTCTTTGACACAGGTACAGATGGCTGACGTTGCCCGCTGCATCGAGCGCACGATTCGAAACATAGCCACTATCGTTCGCTTGTTTGGCAAAACGAGAGCGCCAGCCAACGGTGCTGGAAGACGGCGACTGGTCGCTCTACTTATGCTTGCTGCTTTCTGCGATCGCTTGGTCGAGAAGCCTGGGCTGCGTCGAGAAGAGATGGCTGTGCTCCTGTACGACGAGTTCGGCATCATGGTCTCTGTGTCTAGCTTTGGTAGGGCGTTGGCTTCCATCAAGTGGACCAAGAAGGTTATCCGACGCATCGCAAACGGACGCAATGGCGATCTGCCCGACTTCTACCTGCACAAGCTCCGCTCGTATCAGCTCGTATACAGTGATGCATCTGGGTGCGACAAGCGCATCATCTTCAGACGCACAGGCTGGTCTCCGCTCGGAGTAGCACCAGTAGAGATCGCCCGCTTCCATCGAGTTCGCAGGCACCAGATACTGCCTGCATACACATAAGAGGAGACACTGTTATCTAGAGTGTTTCAAGGCTCGACTGACGGCGCTGTGTTTGAGGACGTTGTAGAGCAGCTTCTTCACCACTGCAGGCCATACCCAGAGCAGAACTTGGCGCTTGTCATGGGCAATGCCTCCCTCCACAACAGCGAGCAAGCCGAACAGCTGTGTCGTGATTCTGGCATCAAGCTGCTGTACCTGCAGACCTACTGGCCGGACCTCAACTCGATCGAAGAGTTCTTCGCGGAGCTGAAGGCTTTCGTCGAGCAGCAATGGCACGAGTACGAGAACAACCCACACGAAGAATTTGGGGTGTTTCTCGATTGCTGTGTCTGTAGTGTGAGGACAGAAGAAAAGTGCAAAAGGTCACTTCCGGCATGCATGCGTGACTATCGAAGAGCTCAGCTCCGGCGCAAGTTCACGCTAGGCGTTACAGCAAGGTGATTTCTGCTCGATCTTCACTCACATTTCTGGTTACGTAGCGTTGCGAAGAGCTATGCGGCATGACTGAGTGCAGCATCATACGACTAACGTGAACGCGAGGCCCATATGGATAGGTTGCAAAAGCAGATGAGGCTTTTATCAACATTCAGGTAGGCAGGCAACTCCAGCATGCTGATGTAGGCGCGGATGTAACCAAAATACTTTGCCGCTGCTATCGAAAACTCCACATCACTGAACCTCACAACCCTAGCCCCGCTTGCATAAGCTTGCAATTGCCGCTCTCCCGTCAGAACCAGTAGTGTAGTACTCCCTTCAGCTTTCCACTCGTCGCTGTCGCCAGTGCCAGATGGCCAGCGTCAGACACGTCAGCGGTACGGCACATGCCCAGTACACCCAGATCTTGCCAGATACTGACCATCCCGTACTATCTTCAGCGGGCGTGTAGTTGAAAAAGCTCATGCTGAAGATCGCCTGCTCAGCGTTAGTCGATTGTCGAGCGATGGCGAGGAATGCATACTGATAAGAACGTCGGAGGTAAGAAAGCCATCGTCACTACTGCAATCGTCCTCATGGCGCCACTGTCAAGCCTCGCTGCCTCCCCAAGCCGCGTCATGACCTGGCTGTCCCGCTGGGCAATCATGTTGTATGCCTGGCCTTGCATCAGTGAGTTGGCTTCCGTAGTCACTATGTCCACCATACCAGAGCGATCTCGTTCTGCAGCCGCTCCTTGTTCGATTGCGACCGCAGCAGCAAGTTGCGGAGCATCATGGCTTGGAACTCCATATGCTTACACAGACGAAGCGAAGCTTCTGATTCGGCTCCGCTTGCCGGCTTGCTCTTGCTGGCAAGATACAGAATCTGTTTCTGCATAGCTTCCACCGATTCCACTGTCACACTGAGGGTCTCAAAAGAATGGATGGCGTGACGTGCAGCCTCATGCATCATGAGAAAGCCTTGAGATCCACGGGCTGGAAGCGAACGATTCTGAACTTTTGTTATCGACTTTACCAACCTCCCGTTGCTTAGCCGTACTTGCCTTCTCAACACTGCGCACAATGTCGCGCACAGACCACACAGACGAGTCCTGCATAGCAACGACTGCCTCTACGAGAGGTATGTGCAGCGAGTAGGGCTCCGAAGGCGGCAGCGTCATCCCCTGTTGAGCAAGAGCGTTTTGTAGCAGCCCTCTGAACAGTGGGAATGCACCGGTGCACAAGATAGCGCAACGATCCGAAGTCCACCGCGAACAGAAAGTCATCTCGTGCCAGGTGTAGCTTGAGCTGGCATCTCGAGCGGCCATCTTGATCAAGACACGGAACCACGTGTCTGTGACGCGGGGTGAGCAGATGCCTGCATGTAACATACTTTCAATGGTTCCTTACAGCAAGATTGAAGGTGACCATCTGGACCAAAAGTCTCTGCAGAGCTGAAGAACCCGTTCGAGCGTCGATATCCTGTTGTGAGGAGATGAGTAGGGATTTGGAAGAACTGCATTAGCTCTGGCGCTGGTTTCGCGTCTGTTGAAAATGCGTCCTGTTCTACCAATCTGCAAGGCGATTACTGCGTAGCTCTGATCCGTGGGTTCAGTGATACTTACATGTACTGAAGCTGTGGAGCGCTAGCCTCCTACGTAGACGATTAGAAAGGCAGCGGAAGAGGTGAAGTTGTCTTATACATCTATGCATTGATCGAAGCTCTTGTCTTCCAGCATCCAACCTGCTGAAGCTAGTCTTGCTTCAGTCTATGTTCTATCTTAAGGTGCATAGCCGCTTACAGAAGTGTAGGACGGTGTGTGGCTGCATTTGGGGCTGCTGAAGATAGCTAGAAAACTCAGTACTTGCGATGTGTGATGGCAGGAGGGTGGGAGCAGAGCGACGAGCCCAGCGTTGTCGCCTGCGCCATCTCCACGGTTGAAGGCGTTCAGATGTGCTATAGGGTCTTGAGGCCTTAGCCTGCGTCTGCGGCCTAGTCCGACTGTGGCGTAGCAGTGCGCCCCACATGAGCTACCAATGAGCATGCCACTACTACCGCCTCCACACCTGAGGCGCATCTACGACTGTAGCCGCTGGACGTCAAATCAACAGTGCACCTCAGCCTGCCGGCTCCCAGCTGACGACATGCAGGCAGCCGAGCGTCGGGCGCGTCGCAAGGCTGAGCGGCTGCCACGCTGTTACGGTATTCCACAACCTCGTACTCATCCTCTGTGAGATACTCCAGTCACTCCTCCCTCTGCCCCCCTCGTAACGACGGCGAATGGCGCGGCAGCTGCGCCGCGAAGACTACACGGTGGGATGGGTGTGTGCGCTGCCCGTTGAGCTGGCAGCGGCGCAGGAGATGCTCGATGAAGAGCACCCTGACCTCGACTGCGACCTGACCAACAACGACGAGAACCTGTACGCCCTGGGCTCGATTGGCGGCCACAACGTCGCCATCGTATGTCTGCCCGCCGGCCGCATCGGGAACAACCCAGCAGCCGCAGTGGCAATGCAGATGCGGGCGACGTTCAAGAAGATCCGGTTTGGGTTGATGGTGGGCATCGGCGGCGGCGTCCCGAGTGCTGAGGCAGACGTGCGGCTGGGGGATGTGGTGGTCAGCCAGCCGCACGGGATGTTTGCTGGGGTAGTGCAGTACGACGCAGGGAAGACGATACCAAGCGGGTTCGAGCGGACAGGATCGCTCAACTCACCACCACAGGTGTTGCTGGCAGCGGTTGCGAGAGTACGGGCAAACGAGCTGCGGGGCCGAAGCAAGCTGCGTGAGCTCGTCGCCAAGCTGGAGGGCATCGCCAAATTCCAGCGCAGCAAGGCAGGGCCTGACGTTCTGTTCGAAGCAGCGTACGACCACAAGGGAGGGCAGACGTGCGACGGGTGTAGTCTTGACAGACAGGAAGCTCGACTGCCGCGCGATAGCGAGGAGGAAGTGGCGGTGCACTACGGCACCATCGCGTCTGGCAATCAGGTGATCAAGAATGCTGCTCTGAGGGACAGACTCAGCGCTGAGCTCGGCGGGGTGCTGTGCTTCGAGATGGAGGCGGCGGGCCTGATGAACAGCTTCCCGTGCCTGGTGGTCCGCGGCGTGTGCGACTACGCGGACTCACACAAGAACAAGCGGTGGCAAGCGTACGCGGCGGGGACCGCGGCGGCGTACGCGAAAGAGGTGCTGTCGGTGATACCGCCAGCGGATATAGCGAAGTCGCGTACGGTGGATGAGGCCATTCGCGAGGCAAGCGGTTAGTATAGCTGCTCACTAGTAGTGTGTTCACGCTAATAGTGGGCCTGAGCGTGTAGCTAAACCAACCTACTACATCCCCTTTCAGAAAAACCTCCACTTTGTTGGACGACGCGATGAGCTTGCGGTGCTGCGGCAGCGGCTGCTCATAGATCAGGACTGCCAGAAGATGTCTATTGTTGGACTCGGCGGAACCGGCAAGACACAGGTGGCGCTGCAGTTCGTGTACACGGTCAAGGAAGCGCGGCCTGAGTGGTCTATCTTCTGGATGCCAGCGCTGAGCATGGAGAGCTTCGAGCAGGCATGCGTGGGAATTGCAATAGCGCTCGACATATCACAGGTGCAGGACGGCAAAGAGGATGCAAAAGAGCTGGTGAAGCAGTACCTGAGCTCAAGCCGAGCAGGGCGCTGGCTGCTGGTGGTGGACAATGCCGATGATCCGGACATCTTCTTCGGGGTCGGGCAGTCGAAAGGCATCGTGGACTACCTGCCAGAGAGCGAGGAGGGTGTGACTGTGTACACCACGCGCACGCCGGAGGTGGCTGAGCTGACGCGCGGCGACGTGGTGGAGATAGGAGCCATGGAGCGACACGACGCGGCTGACTTCCTCACAAAGTCACTTACAAGGAAAGACCTCTTGCGTAGTGATGCGACTGCCAGCAAGCTGCTAGACGAACTGCTGGATGATCTGGCGTGCCTGCCGCTAGCTATCGCGCAGGCAGCTGCCTACCTAAACAGGAACCGCATGTCCATCGCGAAATACTTGTGGCTGCTGCACAACACAGAGCAAGACCTCGTCAGGCTCATGAGCAGCGAGTTCCGCGATGACACGCGGTACAAAGACACGGCGAACGCAGTGGCGACGACGTGGGTGGTGTCGTTCAGCCAGATCCGCGAGCGTGACGCAGTAGCAGCGGATCTGCTGGCGTTCATGTCATGCGTGGAGTGGAAGGCTATACCGCGGTCGCTGCTGCCAGGGGTGCAGTTAGAAGGGCGGATGGAGGAGGCGATTGGCACGCTGTTCGGTTACTCGTTCCTGGTGAGACGGGACAGCAGCAGTCAAGCAACAGAAGAAGGAAGCGAAAACGGCGGGAAGGGTGAGGAGGGGGAGGAAGAGACAGAGGCAGAAGAATGGTACGACATTCACCGACTGGTGCACCTGGCGACACGGATCTGGGTCAAGAAGCACGGCGATGCAAGTGAGGTAGCAGAGGGCGCAGTGCGACATATCGCAGGAGTTTTCCCATCTGACGATTATGCAAACCGGCGAGTTTGGCGAGCATACCTGCCACACGCGCTGCGACTACTCGACGGTCGGCGGGGATACGATGCAGAGGAGCAGGCTGAGCTCTGTCTGCTGGTGGGACGGTGTCTGCGAGTGGACGGCAGGATCCAAGAGGCAGTGAGATGGTTAGAGGAGTCTTATCGACGAAGGAACTGGTTGGATGAAGACGACATGGATCGGTTATCATCGGAGCATAACCTCGCGGGAGCATATGAAGCAGACGGGCAGGTGAAAAAGGCGGTAGACCTGCTGGAGCATGTGGTCGCGGTGCGAGAGAAGGTGCTAGCGGAAGATCACCCAAGCCGACTGCATTCGCAACACGAGCTCGCACGTGCATACCAGGCAGACGGACAAGTGCCCAAGGCGGTAAAGCTGCTGGAGGCTGTGGTCGAAGTGAGAGAGAAGATTCTGCTTCCAGAGCACCCAGATCGACTGGCGTCGCAGCAGGTGCTCGCGGTGGCATACCACGCAGACGGACAGGTGCAGAAGGCGGTAGCACTGCTGGAGGCTGTGGTCGAGGTGCAAGAGAAGACTCTGCTGCCAGAGCACCCAGATCGACTGGCGTCGCAGCACGCGCTCGCAGCAGCATACCGAGCAGACGGACAGGTGCAGAAGGCGGTAGAGCTGCTGGAGGCTGTGGTCGAAGTGCAAGAGAAGATGCTGCTGCCAGAGCACCCCTCACGACTGGCGTCGCAGCACGTGCTAGCAGGAGCATACCAAGCAGACGGACAGGTGCAGAAGGCGATAGAGCTGCTGGAGCGCGTGGTTGAAGTAGAAGAGAAGACACTACTACCAGAGCACCCA